AATATAAATCAACAAAACATCACGAGCCACAGGTAAACGGAAGTTCAAATATTCGAAAAGGCTGGTTGCTATGGAGTGACGTCATAAACCGGATAAGTTTCCATCATCGCCTTGACAGCCTTTTTCGATAATTGCTCGCAGTAATCTGAGTAGTTGCTTGAATTTGTACAATCTCTGTTCCTGCTGGGTACAATGAAGCCTTTTGTTTATTAGGGGCTGGATCGGCCTATTGACATTTGGAGATTGGATTTCATATTAATATGCGTAAGCAAAAGCGGGAATGTTTAGTTTCCCGCGGTCGAGTGCAGTTATGGATCCCTTCAAACTTCGAAGGGTTGAATTGCTTCATTCTCCTCCAGATGAGTCAAGGGAATGGTTTATCTTAAATTTCAAGAAATGTGGCATAAGAGTCAGCAAGTTTTTTGAAGTAGCCTGTTAGTGGCACATTTTCCAAGCGTTTTGTACGGTCTAGCTTTGAAAAATGGCGGAAGCTTGGATGGCCGATATGTTCAGAACAACAAAGTGGCCATCGCCTCTCTATTTGGAGTTGTTTCTACCATCTTCCGGCAGAAATTCAAAGAAGGAGAAGTGGTGAGATATCTTTGGTTGATCGATGAAATAAATTCGCCTAAAATCAAAACGGAGACTAGCAAGACTCAACCAAGCGATGGCTTTTGCGAGGAGCTGAAAGCTGTTCGTGATTCCTCCGCAGCTATTCGAATTGAAAACGATCGACTCAGAAGGCCGTCCTCAATCAAGCGCGGAGTCAGCTAGAATTCCTATTAGAAGAAATAGAAGAATTAGATAAGTAAGACCAGCATCAGAGTTAAAATTGTGGAGGTCGCCGCGAGGATGTGTGGACACCGATCAAATGTATATCGTAGGTCAGGTCCACAGTCCAGAGGTGGGGCGAATGCTCAACGACATCCTTGAGAAAACTAGAATTGACAGCAGCTGGCTGAGCCTGGACAGTAACCCTCGGTTTTTGCAATCTCTCATAGTACCAGACTGGACCCTGCTGTTTTTCAAACTGCAGTCGAGGATCCTGGATCAAGAAAAGCTTGGCAAACGTTACTTAGCATTTCCAAGCTAAGACGAACCGGGGTAGGTCATAACGTTTATATTTTTATTAAGATTGGAAAAAGTGAGTTTGCTGTCTTACGTTTTGTTGTGAATGCTGGTTTTACGGTGTATCAGAACTCATCTCTGCTTGGCAGGAAAATCACATAGTTGGCTGAGTTTGATTTTACGCTGAGCCTCTGAGTCTTCTAGCTATGATCACTTTTTATGGCTACTTTAGGAGAAATTTCGGGTTTGTTTCCTTGATAGGGTCTTGACAGTATTATAATTTATTTCATTTCTATTTTTCTACGATAAAAGATTTAAATCGCCAGAGGGATGCCATTGAGAAAACTGGAATAGTAGTTAATGGAAGATGCTTTAAAGTTAAATTTCCAGGTTATTTGTGTGTGCCAATCTTGACTCTTTATATTTTTTTTATCTTATTATTTTTTATTTTTGCAATGTTTTTATGTTACATGTCTAGCTACGTGATAGTAATTATTGAATCCATTTTATGCTTGGCAGTGTTAGAAAATATCTGGGAAAGTATAACATTTGAGATCTTTGGTGTAGCTATTTTAACTTCAACTTCTTGTTATCTTCTTGTCTTTTTTCATGACAGTTACTCTTGATTACAAAACACTGATAATGCTGCTCAAGCAAAGAGCTGGTGATGCCAAAAAATATATCAATGAACTTTGCAAGCAAGGATTGGACACAGAGTGCTGTGTATTCTGCAAAGTTATTAAGGTAGGTTATACCTGCAATGCTAAATGACATGCATCATAGTGGAATTATACAATAACACAAAACATATTCAGCCTACTGGTATTTGTTATGCAATTTATTTATAATCAATTAGTGAGAGCTTTCTTGGCTTTCTTGACTTTACAGAAAGGCAGACGAAAGGTGTCCATAAAAGTGAACATATTTTATCTGTGGTGAACAGTGATTATATATCTACCATTAGTAGTGAACATTATATGACTTTAGCTCAGTTAATTCATTATTGAGTGATACATGCAATTTATTTGTAGGAATGTGCCTCTCCTGATGTTCCTTTTGGGGAAGCCTTTGCTGAGTGTTTCCTAAAGAGCAAAGCAAATATTGGGGGGTAGGTACAACTCTGCATTTCTGCATTGACATGCATAAAAAGTTCCAGCTTGCAGTATGGTATTTCACTTTCTATTGGAATACATGTCTTTAAATCTCACTTGGGATACTTAGTTTGATGGACAGTTGGCATACTGCCGGCCGACAGTTGGCCGACAGAGC